GGCTTGGGAGGTATCGCCAGCTCAAATTTCCACAGAGCAGCCACGATGAACAGCCACGCTGCTATTGGTCAGGATACTGGACTGCTACTCATATGCTGCAGCAATACCTCAGTTTCGGTAGTATGGGGAGGGCTACCTGCGTCTTTCCCTCGATTTACCTGCAAAAACGTCAACTTTTACGTCTATATTCACTGCATTTGTGTGGCTCTTACCTCTGGGGACGAGGAAAAGCACAGTTCAGATCATATTTGAGGGGATTTAAGCTCTGAGGACCAGGTAACACTACATATACATGTAGGTAACAGTTAAATTATATCAAGGAGAGTTGATTTTAACAATTTAAGCCTCCTTGAATATATTTGCATAACTTTTAGCCTTTTAGCTCTGGGGACCAGATGATGCACCTTATAAATAGTATAGAAACTTCTTGTATTAAACTTAAGGACTTCCTAGAACCTCCTTGTATTAAAGCTGATATTTGTATGGTTAGTACCTATGGGGACCAAATTTATTAACAGTAACGGTTAACGTTAATATTTGGTTACCAATATTTGTGTGTCACCGTGTGTCTTATAAGTCTTGGGATAAGACACCGTACAGGTAATAATTGCGCGGCTCTTAGGTTTGGGGACCAGGTAAGGCACCATACAGGTAATAAATGTGCGGCTCTTAGGTCTGGAGACCAGGTAAGATACCGTACAGGTAATAATTGCATGGCTCTTAGCTCTGGGGACCAGGTAAGGTACCGTACAGGTAAAAATTTGTCGTGGCTCTTAGGTCTGGGGACCAGGTAAGGTACCGTACAGGTAAAAATCGCGCGGCTCTTAGGTCTAGAGACCAGGTAAGGCACCGTACATGTAATAATTGCGCGGCTCTTAGGTCTGGGGATCAGGTAAGGTACCGTACAGGTAAAATTGCGCGGCTCTTAGGTTTAAGGACCAGGTAAGGTACCGTACAGGTAAAAATTGCGCGGCTCTTTAATAGGTCTGGAAATCAGGTAAGGTACCGTACAGGTTATAAATTGCGCGGCTCTTAGGTCTAGAGACCAAGTAAGGTACCGTACAGGTTATAATTG